ACATAAATTCATTATTTTTTATGATAGTGAAAATCTGGATAAAGTCAAAAAAGCATTTGGGCGTGCGTCAGTTAAAAAGGGGGAAATCTACCTCAAAACCAAATTTGAGGTTTTTGGCTTATATTGTGTAAACCATCAATGTACACTATTTTCACTTAATATTGTATGCCGATAAGCATAATAAATTATCGAAATAAAATCAAATAACTGAAATATGCTATAGGGACGATCATTTGATTATTTGACGATCATTGACTTATTTAGCAATAGCATGACGTAAATGATGAAGGTAAAGTCACATGATATGGATAAAAGTTTAGCCACCAAATTTCCCCCCTTTTAACTGACGCACGAAAGCAAAATGTTTTTTCTTGCAAATAAGTTAATTTCATTTTTCTCAAAATGATGAAAACGTAGATTTCCCCCTTTTTAACTGACGCACGCCCATTTGTTTAATTTAATTTTTAATTTTATTGGTTATAGAAAACTGAAATATAATTTAAATTATTTTAAAATGATCCTGTAATTTTGCAAATATTTTTTTCTACTATCCCATGATAAAATTAAAAGACAAATACAAAATACAACAATTTCATTCAGAAAAATTTTTTACGTTAAATCACATGACTTAAACTGTTGTAAAATTATCTCTTAATTATTAAAAGAAAAAGAATGTAGACAGAAAAAACTCTTTCCCCCTTTTTTATTTTGTTAATTTTCCACAGTAAATAAGTTTCGCAACTTTTGGTTTCGTTTTTTTTCAGTTATCTAGTGATAACTTTGGGGGGAAGGAGGCCACAGTAGGGCGCTCCAGGTATATACGGAGTTTTTGTTACCTTTTCACTCAAAACCATGAGTTTTTTTCCTCGAGCAGACATAGGATATATTCCTCCAGACGACTTTATGGCCTTGGCCCAGACAACTTTGTCTTTAACCACACACCTTTAGTGTCTAAACCTACTTCTGTTGATATTTTTCCTAAAGATGATATTCCTTCAGATATTTCCTTTCCTTTACTTCCTACTCAAACTATTGTGGATAATTCTTTTCTCGTCTCTTTCAAAAAATTTCACGTAACGTCTGCCTCTAAAACCGGTTATAACAAGATCTATGAATTTAGTGAATTTAGGTGTTCAAAAACTTGACACCAACGAAATTCATCTTAAGATATACACTAATCTTTGACAGTAAAATTTGTCTATCATTAACCGATGTTAATATTTTTTTTATTATCATCTAGATTTAACTTTTAACATATAATAATCTTATAACACTTTAAATATTATTAAATTAATAGTAATAAAGTTATATTTTTTAAAATTGCAGCCAAATTTTGCTGCAAAACCATTTAAAGGATAATAATTTACTATATTACATTTATTTTAATAACTAACTAGCTGTCACCCGTTGCTTCGCACCGGGACCAATGAGTTTTTTTTTAAATAGAAAGATTTAGTATTATAATATAATACTAAGTAAATTAAAGAAGTTTTTTGTTTATAAATAGGAATTTAATATGATAATAATTACGTAATAAAAAATATGTATTAAATTATATTTATAATATTAGAATGATATAAATAAATAAATTACTATTTTTAGAATAATGTAACTATTTATATTTAATGATTTGATGTTTGAGTGTAGAGTGAAATTCAGATTAATTAGGAATTGTGAAAAAAATAATTATCAATAAAAATTGATTAATTTTTTTAGGAGTATTTTTAGAAAAAACTTTAATATTATGAAAATATTACAAATATTTTTATTAATTGATTAATTATTTCTTATTATTTTTATATTACGTCAATTTTAAACTTATAATCAACTTAGGAAAAATATTTAAATAATTAAATGTACTAGAAATCTTGTTCATTTCATTTATTATTATTCTTTTGAATACTCATTTTATTCGATAAATTATTAATTTAACTAAACCATTTGAATTGAAATGTTTAATCAAAAATCTGGTGATTATTTAGAGAATTTCTGATATGGATTTGGGTTATAATAGTCTATTATTAAATCTAACCCTATAAGAAATCTGTATATGGAATGGATACGTTTTGTATACATTTTATGTACGTTTCTATAGATTCCGTATACAAATTCCGTATATTTAATAAGAAATTCATTTTTGAACATTTTTTTAAAAAACTAACGTATACGAAATGTATACGGAAAAAATTAATAATGTGGAATGTATACGGAATTTTTAAACTTAATATTTTAGAAAATAATTTTACAATCATCCCGTATCATAACACGTGATCACGTGATTGTTTATTGTTTTGTTATGGTACGTTTTTTTGTTTTTTATATAAACCCTTAACAATTACTTTGATCTTCCTTTTTATCTTTCCTTTCTTTTGTCTTTTGTTATTTTGTTTTTTTTTTTATTTTAAAAAATTTTTCTTTCTTTTTTCTTCGTCACCTCCCTTTACAAAGAGATTTTTTTTTCGTCACTCTCCTTTAAAAAAAATTTTTTTTTTCATCACTCCTTTAAAAAATTTTTTTTCATCACTCTCCTTTTAAAAAAAAATTTTTTTCGTCACTCCTTTAAAAAAATTTTTTTCATCACTCTCCTTTTAAAAAAAAATTTTTTTCGTCACTCCTTTAAAAAAATTTTTTTTTGACTTTATTCTTTTATTCCCCACTCACCGCCCTTTCCTTTTTTTTTAAAAAAAAAATTTTCTTTCTATTCTTTATAAAAAATTTTTTATTTTTCTAACTTTGACATCCTCCCTTTTTTTTTAAAAAAAATTTTTTTAACTTTCCTAACTTCGTCACCCCTCTTTTTAAAGAAAAATATTTTTTGATTTGTTCTTTTATTCCCCACTCACTACCCTTTCTTTTTTATTTATATTATCTCTTTTTTTTATAGGCCAACAGATTTTTTTTGAAAGTTTCTTTTTTCTTTTTTTTGTAAATTAGTTTGGGAGTCCTTTTCTTTTTGTAGGATGGTACNCAATACTTATTTCAATAAGATAGATGTGTATAAGAGACAGGGGATTCCTTTTCTTTTTGTAGGATGGTACAGGATTTTTTTCTTTTTTAGGTCAGTTCAAATTTTCTTTTTTCTTTGTAAGTTTGGTTCAGATTCTGGATTTTTTTCTTGTAAGTTGTTTTGGTTTCTTTTCATCAGACGTTTTATGATTCTTTTCTTTTATGTAGGTCAGACATTTTGGAGTTCTTTTTCTTTTTTGTAGGAATACTGACCCTTGGTGACTTGGACGATTGCAGATACTATATGAGGGTGTTTTGGTTTCCGGTTAAGTTAAACATTCTCATGTTTCTTTTTTCTTTTTAGGTTTTTTGACTCTGAATGAATCTGAACATATTATAGATAATTTAGGTTGCAATAGGTGGTTTTGATAAGGAAGGGAATTTTAATAATGTATTTAATATATTTTTATTTGTTTAATTTTTAATTTATATTTAATTTAATAAAGTAGAATTAAATTTATGTAAATACAACTATAATAAACTGTAATATAATGGTAAATTCAGTAACAAAATCGTATAAATTTCATGATAAAATCAGTGATCAAATCATGTAAATTCCATACGAATCCCGTGTAAATTCCGTATCCAAACCATATTTTTAGTGATACGGAATTGTGCATTTTTCCGTATCCTTTCATGATACGTTATTTCTAAGGAAAAAAAATCGTATAAAAACTTTATAAAAAACGTATCCGATTTTTTTATAGGGCAAACAATTTCTTTAATTAATTAATTTATAAAATATTGTAAAAATATCAATTTTTTTTTGATTTTTATGAATTTGAAAATTAAACTATTTATCCAGGGAAAGAATGAGAAAAAAACAAATTTTTCGGTTTGAAAAAAAAAACTAAACCGAAAGAAGAAAGGGAGAAAATTTTTTTTCAGTTTGAAAAAAACGATTCACAAATTTATTAGTTGGAAATAATATTGAAAAAATTCTCACTAAAAAAAAATTTTCACACGAATTTATTAGTCAGAAACAATATCATTGACTAAAAAAAATCCCGTAGGACATAGAATAAACTATTTTTTGGGTTAAAAAAAAATCCAAAATTTTGATAAATTCCGATTAAAAAAAAATCCCCTAAAAAAAAATCCAATAAGAATAAAAAATTTTGGTTAAGTTAACCAAAAGAAACAATAGTGATAAAAAGAGGGATAAAAAAATTAATAAAAAAAAAGACTAAAAAGGTAGTTTCGAAAAAAATTATTATTATAGAAATGGTTCGTGGTAACTAAGAGAGCGGAAATAACCACAAATAAATGCATAAGAGAAATTATACTTTTTTTTGTTAGTATTAATCCATCAGAATAAAAAAAAATCCAGTTAAAATTTTAATTAACTGTAAATGTATTAGTATAAAGATTTGTTATCATAGTCAGTTAATTATGATATATTTATGATATGATAATTACGAAATAAATCGAACGGCTCGAACGCACACTTTTCAATGTTACACAATTCAAATTATTTAATTTAAATTGCTTTACTTATAACCTGAAATACTTATCTTACAGTTAACACTACAGATGGCCCCTAAATTGATTTTTAAAAAATATAATTTTGGTAAGAACTTCAGATTTGAAATATTTTTTTCATATAAAAAAACTAAAACAATTAACAATTAATAAAATAATTTCGGATGTAATTCAGATATGAGTAAATTAAGTTGTTTATTATTTCAGATTTTAGATTTTGGTGAGACACAGCTTTACTATAAAAATCAATTTCAGTGCCACCTATAGTTAAACTGACATTTGAAAGTTGAGATAAGCATAGGATTAGGGTAAGGATTAGGAAGGTTGGGTTTAGGCTGAAAGATTACCTTTAGAGTTTAGCGTTAATGCCGTGATGAATGAAATAACAACTTACTGTAAATTGTAGTTATATACTCATTGTTTGAATAAACACGCTACTGACTGTATCATTATTCATTAATAATGGGTAAGGATTTAAAATATTTATTTATATGTTTTATTCAATAAAAGAGCCTCGATATAACAAAATTTGATATACAGAAATCTAAAAATTATGTATCTCATTATTATGCTGAGAAGCTACCAATCAAATTCTAAACAATTTTACTAATTTATTCTTTTCCTTTATAAGATGTTAACATCTCATCTACACATTCTAACCCAGATTAAATCTTCTTTATAATCCAATTTATAGTCATAATCTTCAATTATACCTTTTGCTTTATAATATTTCATCATTTTTTTTATATTTTTAGAATTAGAAAAGAATTTTAATATCATAGGACGTCTACCTTCCCAAAGTTTAAAAAAGTCATCTAAAGATTCTGATATAATAATCATTATTGTAAATGTAAACTTGTATAAATTTATTGGTGAATATTCAGCTAATATTTCAAATAAATCACCCCAAAAATAATGTCCAGCTGCAATATATAATTCATTCAAATCTTGACAATTAATTAATATATTTTTAAATTCTAAAAGATCTTTATGTTCAAGCATCATTTTAAGATACTTTAGCTTTGGACAATTTTGATAAATAGCTTGAATAATAGTTTCATTATTCCAATATACTTTCTCAATACTTATTTCAATAAGATGTCCACTTGTATTTTCAATTATATTTATAACTGTATGAATTGAGAATCTGCTAACTTTGAGAATTTCCAAGTGAGGAAAAATTAGATTCTGATTCCATTTAAATTCCCAATTCATATAATGATTACTCATATCTAATACTTTTAAATTTACAAAAGATGAAAGAATTTTCGTATTAATATGTCTGGGTGTCTTTAAATATTCTATAGTACTTGAATGTTTAATCAAAGAATTTTCAATAGCATCATAATATGAATCATCACATGGATAATATATGGGATATTTACTATTAGGAAAAAAATGAATCTTTAATAATTTTTTTTGTTGTTTAATTAATTTTGTAAAACCATAATTATTATTCTCTAATTCCATAAAAAGTTCCAATTCTTTAATTGAATCACAAATTTCCATTAATCTAATTAAAGATTTATCATTTATAGAAGTATCACAACTAAGAAATTGAATTTCTGATAAACAATTTTTTGCTTCTGGTATAAGATTTAATTGATAATCAAATTTTTCAGGTATATAAAGGTGAGTAAATTTTGTTTTATCATTAATAAAAAGTTTAAGTATTTCATTCATAATAATAATTATTTTTGATTTATTTTCAATAATTTTATTTAAAATCATTTTGATCACACTTAAGTTTAAGTGTTTACAAAATGTGATATAATTAAATAAAATTTTGTTATATGATCTTGATCGAATGTTAATACCTTGACTTTTTAAGTAATTTTTTGATTCTTCTGATAAGTGTGTAACGATTGTATTTAATAATAATTTACCGTTTCTATCCTCTTTAAATTTCCAAGGATCTCTCCATAAATTTCTAATAATCATTTCACACCAAGTTTTATTAACTAGAAGACACGAAAAAAGTGTGTTTTTATCATGCAGTTCATCAAAAATCAAATAAAGAATATCTTTATTTAGCTTGGACATTTTTCTTTTTTTTTTGAAAAAAAAATAGAGGGAGAAAAAATTTTTTTTTTTTTTTCACAAAGGTTATGGGTCTGCGTTACTGCAATTAATAACAACGATCAAGCTATACAAGCTGTACGACTGTGCAACAAGAAAGAAATAGGGGTAGTAGTGAATTAAGTGAATTGTTTACGGGGTGTGGCACGATTATGCTTATATTTTGTTTATTTTGTTCATATTTGGCATGTTATGCATGCTATGATACTAAAATTGTTAATTTTCACATTATTTAGCATATCTTCATAAGCAACTTTTCACAAGTATAATATGCGAATTACTCCTTAGGTGACGCGCGTCAGGTGTCAATCAACACTCGACACGCGTCAATTATTAACTGACACAAATAAATAGGCAAATATTGAAATCTGAATATTTGCTAATACTGGCTGGCAAGCCTGGGACTATGGCTTTTTCAAACCTAATAAATAGGAGAATGATCCTACAAAACAATAAAATGAATATTTTTATTTTTTGATTTATGTAAATTATACAAAAAGGACAAAAATAATAAATATATGATCTAATTCACTAATTGGAAATTTTATATTGAAAATAATTTACCTCATGGTCAGAAAGGAATTTATTTAGATTCATTATTATGATTGGTATTACTTCATATTGAACAATCTCCTTTGGACATCGTTTTGTAAAGAAATTGTGTTTTTTTTTCTTGAGTTTCCGATATTTTCTTCGTTTATTGCGTATGTTCACAATTATTCTACAAGTTATTAGCTCAATAAAGCGAAATTAATTTTTTCCAATTTTTTCGAAGTGTTAAGAATCCTGCCACTTGAAGTCTTTATTTCCTAAATCGGTTAATGGAATATTATCTTATAAAGTAGTACGAACCATAAGGTATATATGCAAACTATATAAAATTTTTAACCCAAATTTTTACGAGTTTCACAGGTAAATTTCAATTAGTTCATTCACAATATTTTAGCAAACTATCTATTGATGATTTGGTCAATCAAATATAAATACTCGTTTTTTTTAAAAAAAAAAGTTATCTGTTAAGGAAAAAAAAAATGCTGCGGTTCAACGAAGATGTGCTTATCCTAATATTTGAAGTATTATAAATAATAAAAAATCTCTTTATTCATGTTTTTTAGTTATTAGAACTTGGTGTGTAACAGCGGTACCAAATTTATGATTAATATTATACGACTAGCAATATTTCAATTTTTGAATTGTACAGTATCATAAATTCGACGAAATTGAATCAGTAAAATTATTAATTTTCACATCTTTATTTCATTCGTTCACGGACTGATAATTAAATAATAACATTTCCAACTATATTATTTATATCAACGCTTGTTATTTTTATAGTAGAACTCACGCCAAGTACAAGCTACACGTACAAAATAAAACAAGTACGTAAAGTAGAATTTAAAAAACTTAAAAAACTGATACAAAGCTTACATAAGCGACCATCTACCAATATGAAAACGGAAAAAGTTCTTTCGTAATATAAATTCAAAATTATATGTGGATCTATGAGAATACCAAGAGCCTGAGCGTAAGAATTGCTAACGGTCCATCTCGAATCGTGTAGTTCATTTGTTGATATGAGCATTTGGATTTTGAGACCCTTTATTTTTTTTGTAACTTTACATACATAACAATAGTACAATTTTCTTTACGTAAACGTTGAAACATTATTGATATTTTGTACCTTTACAATAATTTATTAATTTTTAGTAATGATAAATAAATTTGCGTGAATTTTCATAATTTACAATCTAGGAAAATAATTTATGATATTTATAATACTTATATAGGCGAACGGGTAAGACACTTCAGAATAATGGCATTTTGAATTTCTTATTTTCAAGCAAGTTTTCAATTCTTTATTAGAAATTCAACAATTTATACAGATATTAAATATCGAGTAAAAATTTAAAATAAATCGTACAAATTTCTATAACTATAAAAAAGGTAATAAATAATCTAATAATATCGTACGATGGTTTAACGCCACATGACTTTCGTAGTAACTCCCCATATTAATATACTTAATAAAAAGTACAAGTTGAATTTCTTATAATACCTTCATCAATATATTTTTTAATAATTACTTTATGATCCTCAGTTATATCATAATCATAATTTTTACATAAATTAAAATGTCGTAAATTACGTTCTTTATAACTTTCAAAAAGTCGTATAAAACCATCAATAGAATATTTCCAAATTGCACTAATTGTTATATTAGTTAAAAATTTTGGAGAAAATTCAGCCAAAATATTCAATAATTCATCACCTAATATATTATCATTTAAATTAATAAAAGCGTATAAACTATCAAATTTTACTACTTCTAAATATTTACAATTTAATAATAATGATTTTACATAAATAAAATCTTTAGGTTCAATATAAGTACGTAAAGTTTTAATCTTTGGACAATTATTTGCAATTGATATAATTAACATTCCAGTATTTTTAACATTTCTATGAGTATTATAAATATCAAGATGTAAAAGATTTTCATTTGTTTTTTCAATTAATTTCGCCAATTCTTTAAAACTTAATAACCAATAAATACTAAGAAATTGAAGATTTGGAAATTCTGAAATTGCGAGACATCTTTGAAATTCTTTAATTTTTTTAATATCATCATCTTGTTCATCAACTTCATTAAAAAATATATAAATAGTTGTTAAATTAATTAATGATTTTAAGAATGAAGGTGGTATAATAATAATATTAGATAATTCTAATTTAAGAAGATTAACTTTTCTCGATAATGTATTACTTAATTTTTCATAAGTTCTTTCCCTAAATTTAATAGAATAAAGAAATATTTCTTTTAAATTTTTTTGTGCATCAATTAAAGAAATTAATCCTGTGGAATCTTTAGGATTTCTAACAGATAATTCATTTAAACTTTTACAATATTTTGCCATCTCTTGAAGTGAATTGGAATTTACATAATCAAGATTAATATTTAATTTATGTAATTGAGAAAAACAAGTTGAAGCTCCAGGAAATAATGGTAAAGGTTGAGAAGTTTTCCAATATAATTCTTTAATATTTTTACATTGAATAATAAATGATTTATAAATTTCTTGTTCTAAAAGATATCTTTTATCATGATTATTATTATTCTTTAATATCATACTTATAATACCATTTACGATATCATATTTTGGAAATTTACAAAAACTAATATAATTAAATAATGGAGGTTTTAAAAATTTTGTTAAAGGTAATTTTATATCATTATCATTTAAAATTTGTTTTGTTGATGATGATAATAAAGAAAGTATTGTATTATAAAAAATTGTTTTATCTTCTTCAATTTCTTCATAATAAAAAAAATTCTTCCATAAAATTGGTACTATTAAATGACACCATTCTTTATTAACCAATAAACATGAATGTAAGGATTTTTTATCTCGTAATTCATTAAAAATTATTACGAAACAATCTAAATTAAGTTTTTCCATTTTTTTTTTTCCCGTATTTCTTTTTAAAAAAAAAATTTGGTAAGGGAAAAAAATTAATAAAAAATCATGGAAAAATTTTGTTAATTTTTTTTGGTGTACAATCTTTTGTTATACAAAATTGGATAAGTATTTTCCGGCTGATTATTAGGATTAGTCATGTAAATTGATGTAGATCATTCACTAAACTAAACGAATATTTAATTTGGTACACTATAATTATTTTAGTTAATTAATTTGCGGCTTAGCAAAAATCTTATGAAAAAAAAAGTCAATTATTTAGATAAGCAATGTTTATTACTGCGCTCTGCGCCTATAATCGCTCATACAATAGAGTTATTAATTTTTTGTAAATTTATCATATTATATAAGAAAAGAAATTAGCAATAAGTCATATTTTGATGACTTCCAACAAAAGGGATCGTAAATCTTAAACTTAATTATTAATAATATAAGCCACACTTATGTCATGGCCAGTCTCAGTTTTTGGCGATTTGACTACTATACTTTATTTAATGTAAAAAGTACAGCGATGACGTTGACAAAGCACGCCTCTCACGACACGTTCAAACAATATTCGTGAACTGCTATTGTCACACCAATGAGAATTGGATATGGCGGCGAGCATAATTTGAATGGCAATTTGATTTGCCTAATAAAGGTTTAAATTTATTATAACTAAATTTTTTACATGTTTACGTTAATTTTTTTTTTCGCAATCCTCGAATCCCTTGATTGATTTTTATGCTATTATTTAAAAGAAATCTTTTTTTAACATCATTTTTAAGAAATCCAACTAATAGTAGTAAATATACCAATGATTGTAATATTTCCGAAATTTTAAAAGAAACAATGATATTAGAAGTAAAAAGCTAACCGTAAAAAGCGATAAGGATTTTTTAATAGAAGAAAGCGTGGTATATTAATTTTAAGATGAAAGTGAGTATGTCATTATTTGGTCAGGAATTTATACATACCATTCTTGAAAAATGGATTACCGATAGTGTTCTAGTGTTCTGATTAAATTCATCTGGGAATAAAAAATTTATTGATTACTTTTCGTGGCGTTTCCGCGTTTACACGCACATGAAAAATTTTAATCATTTTTACTTGGTATCATATTATGGCTGAAAATTATTATCAACTTATTTTTCATATACATCTTTTTTTAACCAAGTTTTGATAAATTTTAGTTAGGCGATGATGAATATTTTATTCAATCTTTTCTCTTTCGCGTGTTAAAATAACTCCACATACGTATAATCTTATCATAAAAATGGCGTTAATCGCTAAACTTCTTTATCTCTTGATGTAATTTATTATTTGGTGATGACAAAATATGATGAGATTACCAATATAATTTTACATATATATACACCCCAAAAATCTTCAAAAAATTAGTCTGAATTAATTTCAAAACGAAACCAAAACATCAAATATAATAAAAATTTAAAACAAACGCAAATATAATCCTAAACAAAAATACTTTCAGAGATGGAAAACCAAAATTTATATCCTGAATTGAGTTATGGTAATATTGGCAATCAAGGAGGATATGGTCCTTGTACCGAGCCCCAGGTTAAGAAAGGAGGAGAAAATCAAGCTTATAATACAAAACAGGAAGCGCCGACGGAAAAATTAACTGAGGCTACCGTTGGAGCGGTATCGGAAGGTGTAAATAAATTAACCGGTAATCAGGAAGTAAAAAATAGTGATGAACAAATGAAAGACGAACCAGCACAACCTGTCAAAGAAGAAATGAAGCAATAAATTTTATAAAAATAATAGTTGGGTTAGCGATTTTATATAAGTATAATAACACCACGTAATTTTTATTTCAATAGTATAGTTTTTACGTGAAAGTTTATGAATTTTTGGGATTTTAAGAAGATTTTTGTAGTTTATTTAGAATATGCTATACCAACTGATGTTCTAGTTTTAATAAAATTTTTAATAAATATTGATCGAAACGAAATTTTTTTAACTGTGCATATATTAATCAAAAGTGTGATATTACGGTAATTTCAACATGTCCAATTGTCCAACCCTAATTTCAGTGTGTAACTTAATTCAAGATCAATTAGTCATGTGGTTTGTGTATTCGATCGACAACACTATAGACGCGTTAAAATCGTTAAATCCACAGAATTATTATATTTATATTGATCGGTAAATAGTTTGATGAGATAATACGGATTATACGCGCAAAATTATGACAGTTTAATTTTTTTTCTTTTTGTTTTGGACAAATTATTATTGTACCGGGATCTAATCTTTTTTTTTTTTGAAATTAATTAAAAAAAATAAAAGAACTTTTAAGACGCAAACCAAAAAAAAAAAAAAGTCCTAATATATCCCAAAATGTCCGAGATAACTATATCGATATGTCATCGTTTCAAAAAAAATTATTATTGCATTCGAGTCCTGGTTACGATGTTAATATTTGCATTACTAACGAACGTGTAACACGAATTTTCTACAAAAATTATTTCAACAGGCGGTTCGATTGATTACATGAAACAAAGAACACACGCGCCTATGAGAGGTTTGACTGCAAGTTTAACCAATTTTTTTTTTTCATCGAAAAAATAATATTGAATTATATAAATAATGTGGTGTCATTGAGTCACTTGAGATTATGAAATGAGTTATAACTTGTCTAATATTATATTCTCCTATGGACTAATCAGTATTATTAAGTTGCGCTTGCTGCGGAAATACTTGCCAAGACACATGAAGATTGTCACTGTATGGCTATGACTCATGTTCTAATGTCTGTTGCTCACATGTATTACGACATATATTTACTTTCCTGCGGATGATTACTTAAGTCTGGTACGATACTAAAATTGTCGGATCATGTTTGACACATCAAAAATCATTTATTTCACCAATAATTTTATCAGTGAACAAGATAACATGAAACAATCAATATATTGATCAGGATCGAATCGCTTATTATAACTTATTAGACTTACGTCTTGCTGTATATTCGTTTTATACTTTGTGCTTGAATTTTTATTTCAGTTGTATTTTCACTTAGTTTCCCTTTTTTGTCGATTCAACTTCATCATTTGATCCTTTATCTTTCTTATTATTTTGATTTGTTTCATTTTTGATCCTTGTTTAATTTAATAATCCTTTTATTTGCATTTTCGTTCAGTTTTTCCATTATTTTTCAGGATAATTTGCAAAAAAAATATTTCAAGCGATTTAGTATAATTTTTCGTTTTATAATTCGATAATTAAAATATTTTAAAATATTTTTGTATAAATAACAAAATTATTTTTCGTTTATAATAAAACCAATGATAAATTTATTCAATAATTGATAATTTAATTTGACATTACATTATATACTGTATGTTTAAATCCTTTACGCCAAAAATAAAGTTACTATTAATATTATGGATAGTTTAAAAATAACATTAATTTACATAAATAAACAATCAATAGATAATCAATTTATAATTTATTTTTATTAACGCTAAACCAAAATATTACATACAAAACCCTTAAATAATAGCTAGTAATATAAAAGAAATAATTAATAATATAATTTTAATTAAACTAAATTCTTTGATTCTCATAAAAAAAAATCATTCAGTATTATTTTCTTCATCTTGATCACTTTCGTTAAGATCTACAAAATAAGTTAATAAGTATTAGCGAAATAAAGGATTAAAGAATAAATATCTTTACCTAATTCGTCTAATTGACAATCAAAACATTCTGAACCTATAAATTAATTAACATAATATTAAAACAATATAAAGATTTATTTATTAACTATATTTGTTACAAATAATTACTTACGTAATGATGATGTTTTAGTAGCATCTATTAAAAAATAAAGTTATTAGTAATGTAAACTTTTTTTTGGTTACCAAAGTAAAGTTAGATTAAATTACCTGAATTTACTGGTTCAGGAAGATTTTTGAAATTTAAAAGTCTACTAGTATAGATTGCTTGTGGATGTGTTTGAATGTTGCTAGATCTTTTTTCACTTGTTCTGTTTAATTTGATCTTATCGTTATATTCCTTTCTCTGAGAGGAATCTTCATAAAAAAAATTAACCTCAAGTTCTTGATACAATTCCTTAGCAGTTGGTCTATTTTCTGCTTTAGCATCCCAACATTTAGTAATCAAATCTGCATGTAATTTTGGTGTATATTTAAAAATATTTGGTCTAAGTCCTTTACATATTTTAATAGATAAAGCATGATTATGAGGAATATTATTATAAGGAGTTTCTTCAGATATAAATTCATTCATCATTATTCCAAATGAATAAATATCAGATTCTTTTGTATATTGATATCCACGTAAAACTTCTGGTGCCATATAAGGTAATACTCCATAAATTCCTTCTTGTTTAACTGATTGCTTTTCATTATTTGCTGGTTGGCACATTCCTAAATCACTTATAAGTGTAAAAGTACCAAGTAATATATTCCCTGAATGAAAATCTTTATGAACTTTTCCAGAATTATGAATGTCTAGAAGTCCTCTTGCAATTTCTTGTAATTCATTAATTTTTGAATAATAATCTGATTCATTATTGAGATAGTAATTTCTCAAATTTCCATCTTCACAATATTCTAAAACCATCATATAATCTTTGGTATTTGGATCTTGAGTTATTCCATAACATTGAATAACATTATAAAGATAAATCTGAAGATGAGTTTTAATCTAATGAAAATATTGAAAGTGGAAAATTTTAATAATATAAGTACTAATACATAAATAAAAATAAAAGTAAGTAGATTACATTTCTTATTTTAATTACCTCATTTAAAAATTCTGTACTTATACAAGATGAATTATCCAAACTTTTTAATGCAACTTTTTTGCTATACCTTACCCATTCTTGATTTTCAATATTCCAATATTTAATATATCCTTCAGGCCATTCTGCTGAATAGATTTTACCAAATCCACCTCTGGTAATATAAGTAATATCTTTAAAATTTTCAAAAGGTATCCATTCAAGATATTTC